GAGAAGGTTATTCCTTCTTCTCTGTGCCACAAGGCAGAGGTGACCTGCCTCTGTAGAAGATAGCTGTAAGTTCCTCCTGGCTCATTCCCACCTGGCCCATCTGAAACCTCATCAGTTGATAAAGGTAAAGATCAGGTGGTCACTCCATACCCTAAAATACACAGGATAGGCCTGCCACACAGAGAGACTCTGACCACCAAGGTCAAGATCATTGAGCAGAGAAGACTTGGTTGGAGATACTGCCCCATTATACAATGGTCCCTCTGAGGCAAAGCCTGAATGAAGGTCCATCTGAGGTCACATGGGAACACTTCAAAAGGCCTTACAAGTGGTTGTAGGCCAGTCTGTGGCCCTGCCATCTGGATCCCAAGAATATGAGCTGAGAGAGGAAAAAGTGAAGACAGAGTAGCATGAGAGTACACCTGGAAGAAGAAAGATCCAGATGGACGAAGGCCGGAGAGAGAAGTATGAAGACAAGATGGGGTGCAGGGGGGTGACTAGGAACCTGACAGCTCAAGGAGAGAAAGCCGAATCCCAGGGGACTCTGAGCTCCTTGGAAGGAGAGAGAAGCTTATAGAAACACTCCATGGCTTGTTATAAGTTTCATTCTTGAAGAAAACCTCACCCCACTTTAGGAACAAAGTACAATTTACAAAGAGAACCCTGCAAGGTGCAGACAGAGCCACAACTGGAGCTGAGACATTGGCACATGGGGAGGGCCAACTTAGGGGAACTAACTTCAGCTCTGCAAGCTGGTCCATGCCATAGATACAGATGCTGAGAAACTCTATACAAGAGGAAGCCACAAGAATGCGCTCAGTGCAACTGAGGAATTGCAAGTTATCGCAAGACCCCGTTTGTCACCCTTCGTGCTAAAGAACACAGGCATTCATGACCTGGGGCGTTGCCAAGATTGGGGCAGAGGGTAGTGTCACAGTCTGCACGCAGCTCCCCTAAAGTGTGAAACAGTATATACTGAGCAGAAGGGGCAATGTCATTAAGGTAACAAATGTGGACTCCTGTGACATGGAGATTCCATGAGCTGGCATCCAGCTATCATAGGAGCACCAGTCAGCCTGTGCTCAGGCCACCAGCACCATGTTGCACACCATGGGTAAACATGGGACACAACACAACTCCTCATAGCTAAACTAGAAAGCACATTCCTCAGACTACCACTGCATGACTGCTTAAAGGGAAGAGTCGGCTGGAAAATGCTGTTCTCTGAATATAACAGCTGTCATCTCTATCCCATCCACTGAGACTATCTGCAAATGACCTCTGAGGTCAGGGGCATTGACTGCAGAGGTTCTCTTACAGAGGAGGGATTAGAGGGCTACTGAACTCTGACCTGAGATCCCAGCCCCTCCTTCCTTCATCTTCTTGCTAATCGTAATTCTACCCTACATCCTTAATGACATATGACCTTGTGGCCTTGGGCAGTGCTAGAGTGTATGAGACCATGGGAGGCAGATGAGGAACTCCATTCATATCACCCTGGACAGCTGTTATCCATGCTGGGGTTAGATCCTCTGATAGTGCAGCTGTTTTGAAGTCACCCACATTCCTGTAAGTAACCATTCATCCATGTTCTGCAAGGAATCCCAATAACCTCACGGGTTTCTCCATATTAAATTCTGACAGAGTTGTCTGTAGATCAGCCATTGGTTCTCTAGAATGGAGAAGGACTAGATGTTCAGTTATGTCTCCCCAGGGCAAGAGTTCTCTAACAGACAGATACAGGGGTATGGTAAGCTCCCCATGGCCAAGACAATTAGATCACACACTGAAGACTTGTCCTTGTCCACATGGGGGACGCGCGCACACACACACACACACACACACACACACACACACACACACACACAGTAGCTGTTTTCTACCCATCTGGTCTTGTATCAGGGAGGGAAGAGGAAATATCAGAGCAGGACTACAGGACTGAGGGGGAGGAGAAAGAGTGGACAAAGCACCCTGAACTCACTTTTCCAAGAATGTTTTTGAAATTTGACTAAGAGAATACTGTTAAATTCAACATGCCTTGGGGAAGGGTAAAAGCAATTTAGAAGTGTTTTATAAAAATAAAGACTCTAGACAGAGGTAGGTCATTTTTCTTTGAACCTGAATCTGACCATTGTGCAGCTACTGGCTGTATTCAGCCGGTACCTAGAGGGAAGAGAGCCTACACGGAGGGTCAGATGAAGGGCTGTGCCAAGAAATGACTAGAACTCAGACTCTCCGGAAGCCCCAAGTCATGTGCAGTATGGGTGATCATACCAGGGTGGATGGGAGGCAGGCCCTATCAAGATACTTTAAAAAAGAAATAAGAATTCTAAAAAGCACATCCCAGACAATCAAGTTGTACATCACAATTTAGCTAGTCTCCCTCCAACAGGAGTAAGCAAGTCCCATCCACACCCTTCCTGTTTCAGGCTTGTGGATCTCCCTCAACCTGAAGATTCTCTTTTTGGCCAGAACTCCACTGCTAAACACAATCTATAATGCTCAATACCTGGCCCTACCATTCGTGTAACTTTAGACCTTTCACCCCATAGCAGCTCGCTTGGTTCCATTTTGACCATTCTAACCCGTTGAAAACTCTAGCACATGTCCTCCCATGCTAGACTTCATCCTGGGTATCGGAGCCCTCCTCCCTGCTCCCTCGTGGACAGATAGCAGCCCACCTACCAAACCCTCCACTGCCACCCACGGATGCATCAGCTCACAGACAGCCAAAAAGCTAAACCCTCCATAATTTCCATTTCAAGTTTGCCTCGTTTTACTGCCAAAGAGACAAAGGAGCAGACGTGACTGTCTGATAAGGGACCATTCACCTTCCACAGTATCTCTGAGAGCTAGAAAAGCTATGCACCATGGGTGTTACACATGACTAAGGGAAGACTTCATTAGTGACTTAAGCGTCTGCTTGCTGCAGCCTGCCCTGGAAACTCTGGAAGTCTACTAGAGTCAGGGACTCCCTCCCTGGAACACTGACATAAGCAGGTATGACTATGTCAAAGTCCTAACAAAGACATCTTATAAGACTTGGGTGGGCTGGGCAGTGGTGGTGCACACCTTTAATCCCAGCACTTGGGAGGCAGAGGCAGGCGGATTTCTCACTTCGAGGCCAGCCTGGTCTACCGAGTGAGTTCCAGGACAGCCAGGGCTACACAGAGAAATCCTGTCTCAAAAATAACAAACAAACAAAAAAGGTGGATTTATGGCTTAAATTTTCCATAACTGGTCCTGGTACCCACAGAGCTACTTTCTCTCTCTCTCTCTCT